TTTAATTCAAATTATTAAATGGATGCCACCTTATTGGCACAATTTAAGCTCTCCCTACACCTAACCCTATACCCGATACTTTAATTTCAACTTTTTGATTATTTCCTTCATTTTTATTGAAAATAAATGCCTTTCCGAAGTGATATGAGATTTGAAAAGGGAGAGAAAAAAAGTTTATAGCCAGAAAGGTGGGCTATATTTGCACTTAGTGTAAATATAGACACTTCGTATTTTTATTAATCTGGGAGAATATTAATCTTAATCTTAGTAATTTTACACTATTGTTTACTAGCTTGCAGTGGTACTGACATGTTATTTCAAGAGAAATAAAACCATTATTTAATCAAAGAAGTAAGAAGCTTATTTATTTTTCCCACTTAAAAACAGCGGTGCATCATTTCTGTGCATTTCACCTCTGCTTTATCTGGCTATATGAATATTGTATTTTATTTTTAGTCACGCAAAGGTGATCATTAAGATGTTATTGTCACTGTCACAGTCATTTGAATAAACAGCTCTTATATGTCTGACACAGCTGAACATCAGACACTAAAAGCATGATCTAACACAGTTACTCTCCTGATCCAGCACTGTGTGTAATGTAATGTAATGTTGTCGCGTAGTTTAACGCGTCTTCTTCTTTGTGTTGTCGTGCTGCTGTTCGCCGGAAGCAGGCGCCAGATCTGCGCTCAGACTCTCACTGATGACACTTGATCTTCCGCTTCCGCGCGAGCCACTATAACTGATAACAGAACAATAACAAACCCAGCGAAACTCGACAAAACTCCGTCAGACACCAGCATCATGTCTAGAAACGCTTTTCCAGGTGTGTACACATCAGTAAATCACTCATTAGTTACGCTATGCGTGTGTTTGTGTGTCCGCTTGGTGTTTGTTTACATCTAAACCGCTAAACTTTATTAGCAGTCTGTTTATGAACTTGTGTCCTTGATAACATGAGCTCATGATGATGAAAAATACATTATAGAAAACTTTCTGTCACACACAAACATCCTGCAGCTGTCTGGGAACGCTAGTTTACGGTTATAACCGATAAAGCGTCACATAAAATAACCAAACATCAACTATATTCTACACACTGATCTGTTGATGAGATCTGCAGTCAGTTATTTTCTGTTTTATGGGCTATTAGACAGAAAACAACATTGAACAAACATTTTAGTATAAGTTCTTAAATTATGTATTATTCGTTTATCCATATATATATATATATACACACACACAATTTTGTTGGCATATCAGTCTGTTGTTGTTTATTATCAGTACTATATAAATATGTTTAAAAATTAATATATATATATATTTTTAGCAAGGCATTTAAAAAAAAAACTATGCTTGTCCTTTATATTATACATTATTTTCTCTCTTATAAGGCAAAAAAAGCCCATTTAAATGATAGTATATAGCATACATTTCTGTAAAAAAATAAAATAAAAATCAGTCCTATATTATTTATATATAATAATGTATTAATAATCGTTTTAAGCCCCATGTTCTGTTGAGTGGCTTGTTTGTTTATTTGTTCGTAAGATCCAGAGAGGTATATTTTATATTTTGGCATGTTATCGATCTGATTCTGTTTATTATGAGTGTTATTAAATTATGTTTATTATCAGTTCTGTGATAAGATTATGAAAGTGCAGCTTGTGGTCAGTCAAGGTAACAACATATTCAAGGTGAGAAAATAATATATTTTCCTATTAAAATAATAGTTTTAATTAAACTATTACAATAGCCCCATTCTTTGACAGTGCAACTTGTCAATAAAGGTACAAAAATTTCATTTAATTTTTAGCAAGGATTTTTTAAAAACCAAAAAAAACAACTATCACTTGTACTGTGGTGTATATTTGTTATTTGAAATATTTTCTAATATTATTATAATTATATATTATTTTTTATATTTTATTGTATGTATATCTTAAAAGGCACAAACCACATTGAATGTAGTATATAGTATACGTTTCTGTAAAAATACATCATTTTTAATATATAAATATAATCAATAAAATGTTTTTTATTTACAATTATTTCTTATAACTATTTATAAATTTTTACTTATTTTAATTAAATTTTTTTGTTTTAATCCCTATTTTCTGTTAAGACAAGTATTTATAGTTTGTGTGTGTGTGTGTGTTGTATTGTGTATTTCAATAGTCCAGTTCCTTTAAAGTGCAACATTTCAAGCAAACGTAACAATATTTGAAAGTAATTTTTAACAAGGATTTTTAAAAGAGATTTTTTAAATTGTTTGTAAGACCCCAGACAGGTTTAATACATTCTTTGGCATGTTGAAATAAAGATGATGATGAAGTGAACTCTGGGTCTGGTTCTAGATCAGTGGAGCGGAGAGGAGGCGTTCGGATCCGAGGAAGAGGAAGAGTGCGACAGATCAGAGCTGAGGCTCGTTCTGATTGGCCGCACAGGCTCAGGCAAGAGCGCCACAGGAAACACCATCCTAGGACGACGTCACTTCCTGTCCGCGCTGAGGGCGGGTTCGGTGACACGCGTGTGCGAGTGTGGCCGAACGGACGAGGATTCCAGCGGGACGATGAAGAGCATCCTCATCGTAGACATGCCAGGATTCGGCGACACCCGGCTCGACGCGACTAGCATTCACGCAGAAATCGCGAAATGCATTGCACTCACGGCTCCTGGGCCACATGTCTTCCTGCTGGTGATCCCGCTCGGACGATACACGGCGGACGAAGATCAGGCCGTCGCACAAATGCTGCACGTGTTCGGCGAAGAGGCGCTCCGCCACACGGTGGCGCTGTTCACGCGCGGAGACGAGCTGGACGATGACGGCGGGATCGAGAGTTTCCTCGAATCGGCTCCAGAGCGACTGAAGATCCTTCTGCGCGACTGCGGCGGACGCTACTGCGTCTTCAACAACCGCGCGCCGGAGAACCGTGCGCAAGTGAACGCACTGCTAACGATAGTGGATAGCATGGGCGGAGCTTGTTACACCAACAGCGTGTTCCTGTACGCCGATCGCGCAATACGTGACGAGCAGCGGCGGCGCGGTCGCAGCAGACGCCAGGCTCTGCGATCCGCGCTCAGTCGCGTCCGAAGCGAAGTCGCGCTCTCCGGGAAAGTTCTGGAGCGTGTGAAAGTGCTAGTTGCGGCGGGAGCCACCGGGATGGCCGTAGGAGCTGTTTTCGGAGCCGCAGCTCCTTTGTCAATCGCGGCGGGAGTCTCCGTGATGGGCGGCGGATCGGCGGCGGGAAGCGCAATAGTAGCGGCGGTGACCGGAAAGAGCGCGATGGCTCTGGGAGCAGCGACGGGCGGCGTTTTGGGAGGATCGGTGGGAGCGCTAGCAGGCGCGGAGGCCGCGGGAACGAGAGAAGCTGCGCTGGAAGCAATGCAGCAGGTGGGCGTGGTCGGTGCTGCGGTGGTGGGTGTGGCTGCAGGAGTGGGCGGAGCTGTAGGGGCGGGGTCAGCATTGGGGGCGGTGCTACAGGGAGGAGCAATAACTGCTGGCGAAACGGTTGCGTCAAATGCGGTGGTTGCCGCAGGTAACGGTGGCATGGGAACAACCGCGTGCATTTTGAGCACCGTTGGCGAGATCGGAAGAGCGGCGGCGGGAATCGCGCTGGCCGGAGGACTGGTGATCCGAGTGGTGAAGGAGAAAGTTCGGTCCGCTTCGGAAAACAGCTTCACTGAACACAGCTCTTACGAGGTCCACTGGAACAAGTGAGCGATGCAGACACAGCGTTTGGAGCGCAGTGCTAATGTTTACGATTGCGCTACATTGCGTTACGAGCGTTGTGAGAAATTATACGGAGCAGCATCAG